TTGGTTTAGTAGTACTAATCTTTAATTATGAAAGCCAAAGCCAAAGGCATGTGTTTTTAGAAAATTAATTTTACTTTGCTTCCCAAAATCCAGCATAGGACAATTGTATTAAATTATTAATGCCAGTTAAAAATGAAAGCTAATGTCTAAATTGAAATCTGATCATATGTTAATACTTTTTGAAAATATAGTCCATTCTTTTCTCTTTTTTTTTATAATTATTTTGCAAAGATTTAATTTCATGCAAATTTGTATTTTCTGTTGTTTTGTTACTGCTTTTATTTTCAAGCTTCTTATAAATTGTGGGTTTTAATATCTGATAATAAGAAAACTATATTATTTTTCTTTGTAAATGTAGTTCATGTTGAAAAACATTAATGTCAATTTTAACGACTGATTTTTTGCTTGTTTAAATAATGTTAATAAGGGAGAAATTTTTTTTTGTGATATTAAAGAGAGCAAGAATGTCTCTGGTGGAAGAAGGCTATTTTTCAAATTTTAAATTTAAACTTTTCATATTTTTTTGAATGTAGCAATTTAATTAGTTTTAACTTTTAAGGTTAATTGTATGTGTCACTTGATGTTACATGTACTTCTTATGATAATTTAATTAGATATTTAGCATCAAGAGTAAATTTGATACAATTATTAAAGTGCAAATATTAGAATTGGAGAAATGAAAGTAACTTTAAAATGGGTAAAATACATATATTAATATTTTTGTTAAACCTAATCGCTTTTAAAAATAATGTTTATTTAGATCTGGAATAATTATTTGCTTTTAGAGAGATACCTATTGTTTTGAATAATTAAAGTAGTTAATTATGGGGAAAGAAATTGTACATCTGTGAAGGGTGATTTCCACGAGACCATATCAAATTTTAGTATTTTAAATACTGCGTCTATTTAATTTCTTAAATAAAAATAAATAAATCACATCTCGAACTTTGAATTGTATTAATCTTTAGTTCATACAATTAAACACTATAATTTATACATAAATGGATAAAGCACTGGAGAATATTAGATTTCAGTGAATGATTAGGCAAGTAATCACGCGGGCTTAACAGTAAATTTCTTGTAAATCTCTCGATAATTCTTCTAACTAGTTTCTAAATTATTACACCCCATCTAAATTTCATTAAATAAACTGGTATTAAACTGTTAATAGCGAACACTGAAAACATAATTCAAAATATAAAGTCATATTTAAAAATTTAAAACTAAAGAGATACAGTATTTAAAATACATTAACAAAAAATATATAATTTAACTTTATAAAACATTTAGTAAATATTCAACCATAACTGTCCAAAGTAGTTCTGGAAAGAAAAAAAATAAAAGTTGTATTTTAGGACATTCTTCTCAAATAAGATGTACGAAGATTGATTTTTACGAGCGGAAAAGACAAAATAAATATATAAAGAAAAGAAAATAGATTCAAAATAGTACAAAGTTTGAACACTCTTTGGAAGTTGTTTCTAAGACTAGTTTACAGCTTTTCAACCTTTTTCTAAAAATAGTAAAAAAAAAGTATTTGATCAACTGTTTTTTTAATTGTTTTTTTTTTTCTAAATTCCTAATTCTTTTCACAAGTGACCAGCTAGAAACCAACTATTATTTCTAGGTTAAATATAATGTCTGGCTATTTCTTCAATTTGGTTCTTTTATCTTTTAAAAGTTCTAATTTCATAGGTAATAAAATTAAGTCCTTGTCACAATACTCAAAAAAAAATAATAATAAATAAATAAATAACCTTGTCACAAAATGTTAAAATTAATAACAAAATGATAATGGAACATCAAAATCCACTTTGATTAATTGAATTAAACAATACTAAAATAGATCTCATAAAATAAAAAACTTCTCAATCTACGGTCTACCTGACATAATATGGTATACTAATAATGATCACCAAGTACATAAAAATTACTAATTAATGATTGTTCAGCCTCATTGAAAAAAAGTCGATAAAGATTAAGACAACACCAAGGAACTAAAACATACAAGTCCCATTTCATAACTATTTTGTTCTTTTATTTTTTGTCTTTAAAAATTATACCTGATTTCTCCCCATTTCTTTTTCTATGTTTTTCACTTCCTTAGAAACATATCAAAATCTTTTACCAAATTCCAAAAACAAAAACAAATTTTAAAAATTTACTTTACTTTTTTTATTTTCAAAATTTAGCTTAGATTTTGAAAATATCTATAAAAAAATACTTACCACCTCACTAAGCCAATCTTGTATTTACGACCCCTAAATGTTACTTTAATAACTAAGAAAGAGATTAAAAAAAAAAAAGATGTTAGGACAAAATTTGATCCTGACCGAGGAGCTAAGTATTATCCTATTTAAAAATTAATAACTAAAACAATGAATCAACTTACCACAAAGTGTAAATAGTATCTCTAGGCTGAATTAAAAAGAAAAAACGAAATGATCATCCAACAAAGTCATATTTAGCAATCATCTTAACATTACAGCCCACACAACTCGACCATTATTTTCAAAAAGAAAGTAGCCAAACCAGAGGTCTGATTAAATTGTATAGGAGGGCAAATCATTATAATAATAAATAAAATGAATCAAGATTAATGAAGAATCGACAGAAATATTCTGCAGAATCTCATTTCTCTATTACCAGAGAGAGAGATCTTCAACTCAACCTTGATTTAGAAACCATACAAAAATCCCCCCTTTATCTTGTACTGCAATGGTGTTTCAGAATGGTGCATTTTCTCTTCTATAGCTGATCAACTTCCATGGCATAATTCAGAGCCAGCAGAAAAAAATTGTTAACCACCATAAACTCATCCCTTCAGACATAATGACAACATTTTCAAGTGGCACGGCATTTTTGGTTTGAAGCTTCAGGCCCTGCAACCTTCTGTTTAACCTTTTGAGACATTATGTAAATGGAACATTGAATTTCCTGTTTCATTAATCTACTCCCGAGTGATATATTAGATATAAATTATAATACGAAAAA